CCCCGCGCTCAGGACAGTTCATAAGCGCACGGTCAACTGGGTTCCCACCCGGCCAGGGCCGATTGACTCTCCGTCCCCGTTTGGCAGGGCAGGGAGGAGGCCAGTGGGAGGGGGCCTGGCAGAAGGGGAGGTCGCTGGCACACGGAGAGGCGGTTTTGTTCTCTGGGAGACTCTGGGAGAGGAAGCTGGGTGGTCTCCTCAGAACATCGGATTGTGCCCTTCACAAAACCGCCACGCAGCGCGGGGCCGCTGGGAGAGCCCGCGGGACAAAAGGCCTGTGCGGAGGCGAGCAGGCGCTGCCGGGCCGCCCCGGGCGCAGAGGCCCGGGCCCCTCCGTGAAGAGGCCTGGCAGTGTCTCATGATGCCGGTTTCCAGGGGTGACGACCTCCGCAAAGCGTCCCCCCCCGGGCAATGTAGGTCTGTGGCCTCCTCGGGGAGTTCCTTCCAGCTCACAGCAGGCCCAGATGGCGCCGGGAACCATTCTCCCTTCCTCTAGCGTCACCCCGTGCCTCTTCCTCCCTACTGAGCCGAGGTTGTTCTGAACATCTTAAGAATCTCCCTGAGTGCCAGGAACTGTGCTGAGAATTTTATATGTAGTTATTATCTATTTAATTCTCATTACACCATAATAAAGAAGGTATGATGATACCCATTTACGATGGGGAAGTTGAAGTTTCACCTATCATGTGCGAAGGGCAGTTGACCATTTAACTAAGGAGCGTTTTAACGCTAGCATCCCCTCCAATATACAGACACTTGATATGAAAGTTGGTTTGGAGATGGTAGGTTTCATACAATCCCCAAATCTACAGATGAGGATGCGGAGGTGCAGGGAGTGGACCAGCCAGGGGCTGTAAACTGCTTAAGAATTCAGGTGTAACAGGTGTGGATTCAACCCACCCCTGTGTAGAAGTTTGAGTTCAACCACCGCTCTAAAGCAGACCTTTAAGTTTCAGGAAGCATAAAGCTATTTTTAGTCTAGCCATGTGAGTCTTCTAACATGCCTGCTGACTTTCTCATGTTTGTTTTCCACTTCTTTAGCTAACAGCTCCTCATGGGCTTAAATGAAAGAAGGCCTCACTGAGGCACCGGAGTGCCAAGGGCAGGGGAATTTGGTTATAGCGTTCAGAGGCTTGTGTTGCAGACAAAAATCTTTGCGTGCTGAGTTCTCCCCAGGGGAGGCCAGTCATCAGTTCATTGTGCAGGGTTGAGTTGACTTCCAAATGGTCTTTATTTTCCCCTGTGACAGCTATGTCTGGAAGCTCCTGGCTGGCTGCTTCCAGGACTTATGATCCTCTGAAGTTAAAGAGTTGGAAAAGAAGTTAAAAAGTTGTCATCTGACACCATCATCCAGGACACTCACTACCGTCTTTACATGATTTTGCATATGCCATTATTGGAAAGAGTTTATGATTTGATTTTGTTCCCCTTCTGCAGTGTCAGTTGGGTCCTGCTTTTTCACATCCTTCAGACTTGGCTTAAAAAGGGGGTTTTTGTGGGAATGATTCCCATTCATGGAGGCTGGAGTTCCCTGAAGAGACTGAAAAATGCCTCATTCTCAACTTTCAGAGACTGGAAAATGATCAAGTTTGAATAGCACAATATGAAAAAAATATGGGTGCTTTTCTAATAGATGACCCCCAAATGAAAAAAAAATGTGTCCGTCTTTGGAGAACAATATGTGAATGCCAAATTTTTCAGCTCTGTAATGGATTACAGAAAATATTTTACGTTGGGGTAGTGGGGAGGGTAGAAGTAAGGAGTGAGAGAAGGAAAGAAGAAAATAGGAGAGTGAAGAAAACAAAAGCAGATGTCAGTCTTAAATATCTCAACTATGGATAACTGAGGTATTGCTTAATTTATTCAAGACAGTTTTGTGAAATCCTAAAGGTGATTCATCAAGGTTTTTAACTGTGGCCACAAGATTTACAAGCACATAAGTGATAATGTCATCAGAGCAATTAATAGTAGGAAATGTTAGATCTAAATTGCTTTTTAAAGCATGTTTTTGCTTTCAGAGAGAAATTCAAAATGGGGGTGATGATTTTATAATGAAGATGCCCCCACTCCAAGCAACCTCTTTCACCTATAATATCAGTTTCATTGAAGCAAATATAAATTGTTCTGAGTTCCACATTTCACGTGTCTAGAGGGTTGCCAGATTAACACATAAAATTACAGCATGCCCCATGCAGTATTTTGCATACTGATACCACCACATTGTTATTTAATACTTATACTAAAACACTGTTATTTACCTGAAATTCAGATTTAACTGGGTGTCTTGTATTTTATCAGACAACCCTACTTACATGAGGAATTCAGCATGCTGTGAATGTTTCAAAATTGAAGGTTGAGGCAGCAGTTTTGTGGGCACGATGAGGCCTGACCTGCAGGGAAATGTTACCATGCCACCTTCTGAGTACCTGTCTGTAGCGGCAAAACATGTAAGTGACAGAATGGGGAGATGAGAATCCAGAAGAGGAGATGGGAGAGAAGAGAGGTGAGACACAAGGGAGACAAAACAGGATACCGAGAAAGGAAGGGGGTCCTCTGGGGAGGCTATTGAAGAAGCAGGGTGAACAGAGGGAAAAGTGACATGGGGGCACTGAGGAATTTTAAATCTGGCTTGATGGCTTTCACAGATTGCTCCCTCTTCGCACTGCAGACTTGGAATTCGATGTTACCCCAGTGAGATCTCTAAGAGGAAGCGCCCCAGCATCCTTTGGGGCTCCCCGCGAAAGCGGCCAAGGTGAGCTCCGGACTCCCCCTGGTGGCCACTGTGAGGCTCGCTCCCCGGACGCCGCCTCGCGGATCCCATAGATTTCTCATCTCCCGCTTTCCCTCTCAGACGCTGTCCATCACCTGCCTCGCTCTCTCTTCCTTCTTACTTTGTCAGAGTATTCATTCGGAGCCCGCCCTTGGCGTGACACGTCCAGACTACTCTGGCCCCAGGACGCGGCCACACAGAGCTGGCCATTGTTGCTCCAGTTCTGGGACCACCCGGGTGGGAGAAGGGGAAGCGCGGCTGCTGCGGAGGCCGCTTGACTGATGGCAGCCTGGGGTCTTCGGGGCCTTCGGGCCCGCGGCCACCCGGTAGGAGGGCGTGCTCCCGGCCCTGCCCGGCCCGCAGGCAGCCGCAGCCCCGCAGCCCTGCAGCCCCTGCAGCGGGGATCCAGCCTTCCCGCCACACTTTCTCCAGGCCCCTTCAGCTAACAGAACTAACACTTCTGTTCTCAGCACGGTGTAGACGATGAGTCAAGGATTTTACTTTTTTTTTCTATGCCTTTACTTATAGGTGTAGTGAGGTAAAATGAGATTTTTTTCTCTTGAAAAGGAGAATCTTGCTTGGGTGGGACAGTGGTGGTGCCAGGATGAATGTGGATACAGGAGGACATAAACCCCTAACTTCTGAGGGTAGGATTTAAACGTTTTGTTAAATGTGATTACTTATAAGAAACATTAAAAAAAAAGTCAGCCTGAGGCTGGGTGCAGTGGCTCACTCCTGTAATCCCAGCACTTTGGGAGGCTGAGGCAGAAGGATCGCTTGAGGCCAGGAGTTTGAGACCAGCCTGAGCAACATAGCGAGATCCTGTCTCTACAAAAAACAAAAATAAAAATTAGCCCGGGCGTGGTGGTGTGAGCCTATGGTCCTAGATACTCGGGAGGCTGAGGATCGCTTGAGCCCAGGAATTCGAGGCTGCTGTGAGCCATAATCACAGAGTGAGACCCTGTATCATAAAAAACAAAAAACAAAAAAAAAAATGTGAACCTGAATATTTTTTATAGTTCCGTTTGTGAGCACATCTGTGACTACCACTTGTAGGGATCTAAGGCCCGCTTCTCCACCCTCTTTGTCATACTCTGGATGAGGGGCACTTCCCTTGACCATAAGGGCCTCTCCACAGACCTCCCACAGCCCGATGACCTGTTTCTCAGGTCTGCACTGTGGAGGTGGCCGAAACCTAGCGTGGGCTGCAGAAGGGAAGAAAATGGTCCTGGCAGAAGGGCGCACTTCCTAGCAGTGGATTGATTTTATGTGGCACTTCCCAGAACATCTCGCAGGGGGAAAATATTGATCCGCTCAGGGTGGCCGGGCTTAGTTCCCTCAGTCTGTGAGCAGCCTTTCTTTTCCCAAACTGGTCATGTAAATACCATATATGCCTTCACAAAAGTTAGGATGTATGATTCAAACATAGCAAGTTATAAATTTTTTTTTTTTTAGTCGTAAGATCTGTTACAGAAACCGATGGAAATTAAGAATTTTACCCCCAGAAAAAGGCAAATCACAAAACTTTCCCCACAACTTCAAGGGCGATGAACCTATTGAACTCTTCATGTGGATGACCTAGGGGTCCATGGATCCAATTTAAGAGCCTTTCCTCTAGATGGCTGACACCTGCAGGTAGAGAGGGTCAGATTATAGTCTCCAGATACTACTTCAATCTGGGGATTTCATGATATTGCCTGCCAATTTTTTACTAAAAAGCATGATGAAAAGTAGTCATCCATAAGTTGTTCTTAATGAATAGAGCAGTTCACTAGTACAATGACTGTTTCTGGGCATCCCTTGAGATCTTAGTTAGCTCTTTTCACAAATGGTGGTAATAATCACAGAGATAAATCTACCTAATTTGAATGTCAGACAGAAAGTTACTTTTTTGGAGGGCCCGTGGTGGCATCACACTTTTCTAATCCCAACATGGAAATGATTCAATTCATGTGAGAAATCTGAATCTGACATGGACAAGGAAGTACGGTCTGCTACAGCAAAGTGCTCCGCTCACCTCCTCCTGTTTCCAGCTCCAGTTCTTGGAGTTGAGCAGGAGAGCATGTCCTTACTCATTTTCTTGTGGCTGGCTCCCCCAGCTGGCTCTGCCAAGATTTTACCTTGCTGCACGGGATCCTTCCAGAGACTGCCCTGAGCTTACTGTAATATTTCCATGAATGGAAAATGTATTTTCCTTTGAGGAGAAGAATAACAACAACATGCAAAGATGTTAATGTAAAACTATTTTTTTTCTTTATTCAAAATACATCTACAAAGTAATGCTTCCCAGTCCACACTGAATGCATGTGTATGCAGAGCTTGTGATGGCTTGGTGAGAGGATGGGCTCCCTACAGGATCTTTCCATAAGAAATGGTTAGTATGTAAAAAAATTGTGTAACAGAATTAAGTTGATATGATTAAGTCTTTGCTCTACTAGTATCTTAAGATGACAGCCACATACATTAACATTTGTAGTGTATTTCCCAAATAGAGCCTCGACATTAAATGGTTACTCCATCACAGCCTAATGTTAACTTTTATACACAGAATGCTTGGGGTCTATATAAAAATATCTCTAATTGTATATCAGAGGATGTATGTCTAGATTTTCAGTCTGTTAGCATAATTAAGTCCATTCTTCACCATTTTCAGCCAGAAACTCAAACACAGCTGCTACTGCCTGACAGCTCCCACTCAGCGTCTTTGACTGGATATTCCTTAGGGGGTAAAAATTAATCTCTAAACCTGGGAGCTGCCTTGCCTGAAACTAATGCCCCTGCTGTTTTTTCTCATAACCTCATTGACAGTGTCTTCATACTGATTCATCTTCTACCATTTTTCTTATGGACACAAACAAAACAAAAGCAAACCCCACTCCAGCTGAAAGTTTTGAATGATTTGATAAGTGGGATTCCAAAACAGAAATATTTTGTTTCTCTCGTTCTAAGGACTTTTGATTAAAGAAAAGCACTTTCAAATAAAAAATACCCACTCAACTCATGGACTTCTATTAGACAGCTCATTCGTTTGACTTCTTTCAAATATATAAGTGGTCTTTATGTTTTGGTAGGCAGACTTCATGGGGGAATGATTTTGGACTCAAGAGAAGAAGTGTTTCAGGTGAAAAAAAAAAAAGCCAAAAAAATGAACCTCTTTTTTATTCTTCCTTAAAGAAGACCTGTACTCTTGGTGTTTTCAAATCCTTTGTTTATAATGTTGCCTGTGCTCAACTCTTTCCTAGCTCTTTAGTGTTCCATAGTGTGCCCACAAGCACCCTTGCTAGCTGCTACCTTCTCTTCTGTTTGAGGAGTGGCGGGAGACATTCTTCCCAGAGTAAGAAGGGAATACTTCCCCCATTGGGATGAACTGGGCAAAGGGTTTTACGAATAATCCCAGTCCTGGAATGGCCTCCTGCCTGGTGACTTGCATAACCTGCACTTTGCACACAGGACCTGGTGACCACCACACATAGCCATCCTGTCCTTAGAAATTTTCACTCCCATTAAAGTGTCCTTTCTGAAAGCCCTGTGCTCCATGGATGGTACAGGGTGTTCTGAGGGGAAATAGAGGGCAGGCGCTTTCATGACATGACAGGATGTCTGGGCTGGAAGAGACCACGAAGACATCTAGGGAAGTCCCTCATTTTATAGATGAGGACACTGAGGCCTAGAGGTGAGATGGGATTTACTCAAGGCCACATGGAAACTGCCTCTGTCTCTCCTCACGGCTGTGCTAGATGTATATGTGCACCTCGCTACTAATGAAATCAGTATACCAGTCAGAAGAGAAAGGGACAAAATCTTACTGTTCAGCTGATAACCGGTTGTAATTCAAGTTGTTAACATTTTGAAACTAAAACTCAATTGTATTCTGAAAGATTTTTAAATCTCAAAAGTTGATTATAAAATGTTTTTAGCCTACTATTTGTTTAACTTATATAAAAAAAATCACATTTATAGGATTGTGTGCCACATAAACTTGTAAGATCTGATCCAGAATATTTTTGATCTTGGTACCTTATTAGGTAAGACTAACATGAAATGATGTAAAAATTTCAATTGTGGGATGAAAATTATACACTTTGGCCACCCAAAATCCTCCCTTGTTTTTTGGAGGATTACTTTCCAATCTTATCAGAAGGGAGGAAAGGGGATTAAGGGGCTTGCTGGAGAGAATGAGCTGTAATGAGATGGAAAGATTTTATAATGGTTTTTAACACCTGGTGCTCAAGAAAGCATTTCTTTATGTTAGTCTACATCTTGGTTTCACTGTCGATGGGTTTCTCAGTTTCATTGTCCTGTGCAATCAATTGATATGGTTTCTTCATTTCATTCTCTTCAATCACTGAGTTACCCATTTCAACATCTCTGTTCTTCAGTTCATGTCGAGACAAATGCTCCACAATCCCGGCTCCCAGGGAGTCTCCCAGTACGTTGGTGGTGGTCCGGAGGCGATCCCTGCGGGCAGGGTGGGGAGGAGGGAAAAATGAGGCTCCCGTGACCGTCACAAGATTTCAACTTACATTAGGAACTGGCCAGCAAAGCACCTCTTAAAATTCAGTTCGCTGTGTCTACCAACTGCAAGATTACATAATAGACACATAATGTTCATAATAGTAGCTATTAAAAGTTATAAGGCCATATAGATGATGAATATTCAGTTATTAGTCTGACTGGAGTGAGAGTCCGAACAGTGGGGAATGAGCCTTCTATTTCAGCTATTCTCAAAATAATACTAAGATATCATTTGTCCCTCTCAGTCTCATTTTCTCATGAATGTATAGTGGAGTTTTGCAAAGACTACATGATGTGTGATGTCACAACTCACTGAAGCAGTTGTGAAACTGCAGAAACAGTTAGGAAACTCCAACTGTCTTGCATTAAGCCAGACATTAAGGAAACTTGCAAAATATGAAATAGTACCATTCTTTTCACTAAATGTTGGGGTCGAGGCCGGGCGCGGTGGCTCAAGCCGGTAATCCCAGCACTTTGGGAGGGGGGGCAGGTGGATCACCTGAGGTCAGGAGTTCAAGACCAGCCTGGCCAACATGGTGAAACTCGTCTCTACTAAAAATACAAAAATTAACCAGGTGTGGTGGTGTGCACCTGTAATCCCAGCTACTCAGGAGGCTGAGGCAGGAGAATCACTTGAACCCAGGAGGCGGAGGTTGCAATGAGTCAAGACTGTGCCATTGCACTCCAGCCTGGGCAACAAGAATGGAACTTCATCTCAAAACAAGTAAATAAACAAATAAAATAAATTTTGGGCTCAAAAATGTTTATTTTTTACAAAAAAATGCTATTTACGTTAGCATATATAACCTTTTTAAGGATGATAAATTCATTTTATTTATTCATTTTATGAATTTATTATTGTCACCTTTAAATAAAACGTGTTCTAAATTAACAAATGGAAATTTATGTTTGTCTGATATGATAAATATGGATACAACCCATTTAGATGAAATGCTATTTCAGTGCTCAATAACTTTGAAGTGTAAAGATCAAAGACTGTGGAGAGCTGTAGCTTTATACGAGAGTGCTCATGTTAACCGATGCTGACTGTGGGCCAGACAGTAGGCTGCATACTTTCTAGGCATCATTGCACTGAAGCCTACAGTACCCCTCGGAGGTAGCAGACACAGGCACCCTCATTTTACAGAGGTAGAACCTAGGGTGGTTGGGTAATCTGCCCGGTCTCACACAAGGTCAGGACACAAACACAGGTCCCCGTAAGTGAATCCTCTCTGCCCGTTCTGGGGCTTCACACACACTGTCAAGCTCTTTTCGTGGTCTCAGTTCCAGTGAACACACGTTGTGCTAACTCCAGCACCTACTGTGTTCTAGGCATTTGCTTTGGGCATCCTGGGGAAAGATTTTCAAAAGTGGAAGTAAACTTTCAAGAGAAAAGGCACAGAGAATGCCAGTTGGAAGAGCAAGGAAAGGGGGCACAGGGATGGGCCTGTAGAGGTTAGAGTTTGAGAGTGTGGAGGGTACATTTCTTGGAACTTTTCCCAGATCCAAAACTCAATTCCACTTAATGAGACTGGGTCTCTTCCCAGTGTCGGCATGGCTCAGCCTCACCCTGTTGGGCTAGAATGGGAAAATCATTCCCACCGGATTGGGAAGCACACAGAGGCAGGGCCTGAGCTGGCATGTGGGGCCTGCAGCTTTGTTCCAGCTGCTGTGGCGTTGTGTTGTGCAACTCAGAAACAGCCTTGCTAATTTATGTTGCCTTTGCAGACAGCGGGTTTCCCAATTCCTGAATGGCTTTATGGAGTGAGATCTGTGGCAGCCAGATGTGCCCCTTAGGCTGATAGGGGAGTGAGTGCACATGTCGGCTGGGGCTCGGTCTCCGGATAAGGACCAGAGGTCAGACAATGAGGACAATTTAACTATGGGCCGAGTGGCCCCTCTCCTCAGAGTTCTTTCTGTAGCTGTGCCAGGCTGCCTGGTGCCCTGGAGTGACAGAGGTGGGCCCTGTGACAGTGAGTCAGAATGCAGGCCAAGCATACTCACAGGAACCAGTCCACTGCGATGATGAGCGTGATGTCGTCAGTGGGCAGGCCGACAGATGTCAGCACAATGACCATGGTGACCAGGCCTGCCTGAGGAATTCCAGCTGCCCCAATACTGGCAGCCGTGGCCGTGATGCTGTTAACAGAAATACCAGAACAGAAAACACTTTTACAAAGCTCCCCAGGTAGAGCATATACGCTGCAAAATACACACGGTGCCAATGCCTGACTTGCCATGTAACACAAGAGGATGTGCTTCAGGAAAAAAGTAAATGAGATTTTTTTTTTTTTTTTTGAAACAGAGTCTCACTCTGTTGCCCAGGCTGGAGTGCAGTGGTGCAAACTAGGATCACTGAAAGCTCGTCCCCCTGGATTCAAGCAGTGCTTGTGCCTTAGCCTCTGAGTAGCTGAGAATACAGGTGCATGCCCCCACACCTGACTAATTTTCTTGTTTTTAGTAGAACGGGCTTTCACCATGTTAGCCAGGTTAGTCTCAAACTCCCGACCTCAAGGGATCCACCCACCTTGGCCTCCCAAACTGCTGGGATTACAGGCATGAACCATCATGCCCAGCCTGTAAACGAGATTAAAAAAAAAATTGAACTAATCATCATGCTAACTAATATTTATCATATGCTTACTATGTGTCTTCTGATATACTAATCGTGGCTTATCTCATTTGGTCCTCATACAATGACCCTTGTGAAGTTGGACCTATTATTCTAGTTGTTTTAAAATAAACTGGCAGCTATACACTTTTTAACATCCCTGAAAGTATTTTGTAAGGCGAAGTTTAAAATTCTGTAGAGTTACAATAATAATTTCTTTCCAATAATTCCCCTATCCAAGTGGAGGGTTGTAAAGTTACTGAACATTCATGATTAATGTTGTCAAAAGAATCAAATTTGGTTTCTTAGTTTGGTTTGCTTAGTTAATTCAAAAGCAAAATGATTTATGCACAAAGTTTTATAGTATTAGAAATACCTTTTATGAAGGCAGTGTAGACATGACTTGCAAAGCAAATGTTTTATAAATAGTAAAGTATTATCTAGTTATAAGTGGTATTAATAAAGTATTAAGTCTGGCACAGAAAGTATTCATGGTCCCCATACTGGTCCCCTTCTAAGGTACTGGAACTTTTAGCTGGTATATTGCTCCCCAGAATGAAGACTACACTTCCCAACCTCCCTTGAAGCTTAGATTAAGTTCTGGCCAGTCAGACATGCATGGAAGTGACTAAACAACTTGCAGGGTATACCATTTCCCCACTTCCCACTGGCTAAAATCTGGGGGTGGTAGGTCATCCCGGACCCCCTGGATAATGATAACACTCAAATGACTCAGTCCCTTATATTACAGAACACCTATCAATCAGCCTTGAAGGCTTTGTGGAGCAGAGCTGTGCTGCATGAAAGAGAAATATATTTCTATCTTGTTTGTCACTCTTACTATTATTTTTAAATCTGTCACATGCAACTGAACCTTTTTTATAACTCAGAGCCTTTCAATCAATATGCCAAAGTATAGGTTACAGGTGAGCTGAGATAATGATCTCCTCAGTCCCATTGTAACTACTTTGGGCCTGAGGTTCCCAGAACCCCCAGGTCAGTCAGTGACCTCTGGCCCTGATCAGCCTTGTCCTTTTTACTCCAATGCACCCTACTACAACTATTATCATTTTCTACTAACACAAAACATACACAGAGTCTAACAACTTATTTCTAAATAAACATAACAACAAATGTATGGTGACTGATTAGAAGAAAAGAAACTAAGACACCAAATGTAGGCCATAAATGCGGATTTGAACTTGGTCTGGAAGTAAAAGCTGTAAAAGACATGTTTTGGGGGACAACTGGGGAAATTTGAATATAGATTGAATATTCTGGAAGTATTTTTAAGATTCTTACTATTGTGGTTATGTAGAAAAATATCCTTGTTCTTAGGAGATGCATGCTGAATTACGTACAGGTGAAATGTCATAATGGCAGAGAAAGACAGAGAAAGAAGAAGCAAAAATGGCAAAACGTTTGCAATTTTTCCATCTAGTAGAGGATGGTTGTTATAATATTGTTTCAACTTCCCTATATGTAGGGCAAATTTCACAACAAAATGTTGAGTGATAAAAATCCCCCCAAATCTGACTTATTTTGCTCTCCAAAATGTACTTTTAATAACAATTTTTTGAAAACCCCACAACAGTGAAGAGCAGAGGCTGATCTGGATTGTGAGTCTGAAAGCGTCCCGTTGCCATTAGACTCAAGCGGACCTTGTGCAAAATAACTTTTAATAAGTAAAAAGGAGGGATTATATTTGCATATGCACAAGGGTATGCCTGGCGTATCTCTGGAAGGACACGGAAGAAACTTGGAGGTAACACTGGTTGCCTCTACAGAAGGAAACTAAGAGACTGGGGGAAGGTATGGAAAGGAAAATAACTTTTCACTGAACACCTCAAATATAACAGTTTTAAAAAATTCTCCACAAAAGTCAGATTCTTGAACTACTTGTCAGTGTGGTCTGTCATCTATCTTACACTGGCTAAAAATTCACCCAGGCCCGGCGCGGTGACTCACGCCTATAATCCCAGCACTTTGGGAGGCCGAGGCGGGTGGATCACGAGGTCAGGAGATCGAGACCATCCTGGCTAACATGGTGAAACCCCGTCTCTGCTAACAATACAAAAAAATTACCTGGGAGTGGTGGCGGGCCCTTGTAGTCCCAGCTACTCAGGAGGCTGAGGCAGAAGAATAGTGTGAACCCGGAAGGCGGAGGTTGCAGTGAGCCGAGACTGCATCACTGTACTCCAGCCTGGGTGACAGAGTGAGACTCCATCTCAAAAAAACAAAAAACTCACTCAGGAGAAAAAGTTCGTCTAACTTTTTATTTTATGGCAGTATATATACAAGCTAACCTATTTTAATGCTTTTAAATACTGAGGTATAATCTAACACTTTTAAAAAGGAGAAATATCCATACTATGTATTTTACAGACATTAGAAAGAATGATGAGGTAGACATATTTATTGGTCTATTGACAACCAAACCAGTCAAAGGCAAACATGTATGTATAATATAATTTCACTAACTACAAAAAAGAAGTGTGTGCATGTCTATGCATAGGAAGAGTCTTTCCAAATCAAACATGAACAATGGTCACTTACAGAAAGATGTGGGGCGAGATGATGGCAGGCAAGTTTCCCTTTTTACTTTATACATATCTATATTTTTTGAACCTTGTTATTAATGAGTGTATACATCTATACTCTAAAAAGAAAACAATTAAAATATCTAAATATAAAATGATTACCCCAAATCCCCACCTCTTGATTATGTGGGATCCCCTTCCCAACCCTGGTTATCCTCTTGTCTTTTAAAGGCATTCTTTTTGTTTTTTTGTTTTTTTTTTGAAATACAGTCTTGCTCTGTCCCCCAGGCTGGAGTGCAGTGGCACGATCTAAGCTCCCTGCAATCTCTGCCTCCGGGTTCAAGCAATTCTCCTGCTTCAGTCTGCCAAGTAGCTGGGACCACAGGCCCATGCCACCACACCTGGCTAATTTTTGTATTTTTAGTAGAGACAGGGTTTCACTATGTTGCCAGGCTAGTCTTGAACTCCTGGCCTCAGGTGATCCACCCGCCTTGGCCTCCCAAAGTGTTGGGATTATGGGTGTGAGCCACTGCTCCCAGCCTTAAAGGCATTCTTAAGAAAGGGTTGTATAGAACTCTTTCCTTGTACCTGATTGTAATAATCTGTCCGAAGTTCAGTTCAAAGTTGTTAACTTGAGCAATGAAAATGGCAGCCAAAGCCTCATAGAGGGCAGTCCCATCCATATTAATGGTGGCTCCTACAGGGAGCACGAATCTGGTGACACGCTTGTCCACGCCATTGTTCTCTTCCAGGCACTTGAAGGTGATGGGTAGGGTGGCAGAACTGAGAACAGTGAAACAGGGCACATCAGCTGAGCATCCTGGTAGTTCTGACTGTCTGTGTGTTTGGTCTTCGGGACAGACAGTTCCTTCCTCTCCCATGTTGTAACTTAATGGGAACTGAGTCAGCACTTATATAAATAGGGGAGCGGGTTAAGAACAGTGTGGTCCCCTCACGGGGTCATTTGGCAGCTCTCCTGCTTCTGGGTTCCTCTGTGAGGCATCACTTGTGATCATGCCCCCATCACGACAGCCTGTGCCAAGTCACTCTGCCTCTTTTCCCTCAGGCAGATGTCAACTAAAGAGAGATGAAGTGGGCGGGAAAGGATAGTAGATTTCCAATTCATCCCCGCAAAAGATATGTAGCCAGGCATTCCCCGAATCCCAAATAGGTGTGATTGGCATGAGAAGTGAGAAAGCTGACTCATCATTCCTGGAAGTTTAAAACCCAGAATAAAATGGCTCCTCCTACACCCTACTTGAGGGGCCCTGGTTCAAGGTAACATTTCAGATTCATTTTCCACACATATATACATACCTTGAAGAGGTCCCCAGAGCAGTGATGAGTGCTTGCAACAACCCTCCAATAAAAACCCAAGGGTTTTTCCGTGTTACCAAGAAGTAGAGGAGTGGCAGGACGATGACTGCGTGAATGAATAAGCCAACAATGACAGTCACAGTGTACATGGCAAGCTGCCCCCCAATCACGCCCATGTCTTCCATCTCCACAATCTTCCCGGCAATCAGGAAGAGGATACCCACGGGGGCGTACCTGGGGAGAAGCAACACCAGCACGGTTGGAGTCTGGTTTCCACCAAGCTAGTCCACAGAAATTTCCAAGTGATAAGAAAAAGTGAAAGAGAGTTGACTGCCAAACTTTCCTGCCCAGGATACCATTAGGACTTACAGAAACTGTGGACTTCTTTTTTTTTTTTCTTTTGTAAATATGAATTTCCCCAGATTCTTGCAGAATCGGGCTTTCCCCTCCCTCAGAATTGCTCTAGGACACAATGTTTTTCTCTTAAACCTGGGAAAAAAGGCAGATACAGAGCTTTTGATACCCACCTCTGTCTTCCTAGACAGCTCTCCTTTCACTACACGGGGGTCACTTTTCTGGTCCTCAGATGCCACTCACTCCCTCTGCCTCCTGCTCCCCTGCTAAGTGTCCTGTACTGCTGGAATCCACTGCACCAACATCCAGACTTTTGGAAGCATTTTCCACATCAGAGCCTAATTCCCAAGTTAAAGCAAGAGGCACACGATGGTGCGCCAGTGTCTCAGGTTTGCAGTCAGTTCTCTTTTTCAAGGGCTACTTTTATTATTGCCTTTCCATATCTACATACCACTTACAAGATTACTTAGTATTATTCTTCCAATCATCTTTTTTACTTAAGTAAATTTACTTTAAAAGAAAATTTTGTTATAGTGCAAATGAAAATCTAGTACTGCTTGCCATAAATAGAAGATGTCCATAAAGTAAATTCATGATTAAACTTAATAATGTGCATGTATGTACTACCACAATCAGGTTATAGGTGTTCTAATGAAGTCACTGTTCCCCACAGGCTGCTACTGCCATTGTGAGCTTTCCTCCTGCAGACAATGCAAGAAAAAGCAACTGAGACTCAAAATGACTTCTACAAGTTGAAATAACCCAGAGGTTGCTTAAAGACCTCGCTGCCTGGATTTCCCTTCTCTTTGTTTCATATGTGCAGGAAACTGCAACCAAACTCACATTACCAAACACAGAGAAGCCAATCACACTTAAGGAGAAGGGTCTCCTGGCAACTATGGAGGATTTGTTTCAAATCGAAAAATATAATGCTTCTTTCAAAAGTCCTTTGAGAACCCAGGCCAGGAAATCATAGGAATACCTGTTTTCAGAAATACAGTAACTGAGCATTGAATGTGCAGGCGAATGTACTGCTAGACAAGCTGCATGTGAGATTCATTCAGGGGCCTTGAATGGGCTTCTTTCATAAAAGAGGTGAAAGGTGGAGGCATTTAATAATATGAAGAGAAATGTCCACTTTCGTTCCTGCCAGGACTTCAAAGGAGCCTTCCAAGTGGGGGCCCCCGTGGAGACCACATTCTGATCTGTCTTTGTGCCCAAGTTCATATCCATCTTGTACAAATTCCTGAAAAATGGATTTCTCTGGGCTTTGGTGGCATTAAAGACAAGCGCATTTTTAATCATGTTGGTGAGGGACTGCTTTTCTTAGCAATGGATTCTTTCCTGCTTCAGGTGCCACAGAGGAGCCTGGATTAAAAATAAAGAATGAAAGAGAGGCAACCTCCACAGAAAGCCTAAGTCAATCAAAGGGTTTTCTCCCTATTGGGTAAAGTTTACTTTCCAAGGTCAATGTTCCTCTTGGGTTTATAGTCTCTTCCTTTGTCTCCTGCTGTCAACTTTATTAAAGCAAATTTTGTCATAAATTGTGACTTGGCATTTTATAATACTTCTTGTGAATCCTTTAGACATTGCAGCAGAACTGCCATTTACAATTCTTTCTTAGGGCTGAAACAGATGAGGAGCCCTCAGTTTTCCTGATGGCCTAAGGGGCCTCTCCGTTTGCTTTTCCCTTTACTGAAAACACCCTTCTTCTGGCACTTTGGTGTGTCTTCTTCCTCTGTTCATTCAGGTCTTAACAAAGTATGTTACCTCCTCAGAGGCCTTTCTGCACCATCCAAGGCAAATTTTGTGCCTTCTCCTAGTTACCTATTTTATTTTATTTTTCCAAGGCACCTGTGACTAAAGCATATGGTTGATTGAATTGTTTATTGTCTGTCTCCTTTAAAAGAGTGTAAGATCTGGAATATCCTTGTATGTTTTCTTTATTGCTATATCCACAGTGCCTGGCACTATACGCTTAGCATATAGTAGACACTCAGTAATTAGGTCTTGAATGAAAAACTAGATAAAAAATGGAGAAACGAGGAATGAGATTCCATCAGCACTGGGGTAAAAGGAGGTGACAGGGTTTGAAAACAAGGAAGCAAACTTATTAGGAGAGGCTTGCAGATAGGTTCAAGGCCTCTAGAGGCCCAGAGGTTCATTGATTTTCCTGTGCTTACCAGAGTGAGATCACTGCAATTGGCCATCCTGACTCGTGGCACCTTCCTCAGTACAGAACACATGTTGATGGCAATAACCATCTCGTATATAACATACACAGAAAATGGAAATACATACCACATTATTACTGCTACCAGTCTCATGATGGCTTCGTTAAGAGAATCAAAGAACTCTCTCAGGGCCTGGCCCTGTTCCTTCATGTTTCCAATCACAAAACCGAAGCACATGGAGAAGACAACTAGACCCAGGGCATTGACTCCATTCACAGATCCTGGAACTGGGACCAGCTCCTCTGTGATTCGGGTAAGAGTCTCCATGGCCTCAGACACGTTGTTTATCACAGCACCCACAAGCGTTTCGTTGGCCTGGATGGGCACTTTAAAGCTTCTCTTCTCATAGTTGGTTTTAAACTTAAAAATAAAAAGCACAATGAGGATTAAAGGTGATTTTTATTTTTTTCTTTATATTTTCCTGTTGTCAAATTTTCTAAAATGATATTTATTACTCTGTATTCAGAGACTAGTGTTATAGAAAGTCTCTTTCTCTCTCTTTCTCTCTCTCTTTAATCTGTGGCAAACCCCTACTACTTTCTTAACATAGACAGAAACACATACTGAAATACATACAAATCATGACACACACACACACACACACACACACACACACACTCACTCAAATATATAACAAATGATAACAGGAAAGAGATATCCAGCTAAAGATGCTGGACTGAACACATGCATCTGCTTTTGCTTTCTTCTGAAACCCTAATAAAATGACTATAATGGGATTTTTGTTTTAAACCATAAACCCAAATATTCACAATAGTCCTCTTCCCTTCTGTGGGGATTATGCTATGGTATAATAGATAAATCACCTGGTATCCTTTCTCTCACATTCCACAGCTGTGAAACAAGAACAACTGTGCTGTTTCTACCTCACAGTGTTGTTGTGATAATCAAACAGAATGTATGAGAACATCTTGCAAATTTTAAAGTACTGTACTAATTTCTGCTAACGGTGCTCAATGACAAAGCCCTTCAGGGATTAGACCTGTTTAGAGATTTCAGTGGGTATTAAAAATTAAAAATCCCTAAACAACCAGTCTCCAAGCCATTCTTGATGTTATCAATTCTTAAGAATAGGTGCCTGATTAATAGTTGGTGAGGACAACTCACCTTCTCCAAGTCTATAGTGGGATTTCACTTCTAACTCAAGAGATGGTCTTTTTTCCCATCATCTATTCAGTTTCTGCATAGATGCCCCAGTCAGGAGATGCTGGCCACATGAAACAAGTAAGCTCATCCCTCTGTGATTTTAATGAGAGTAGAATTCCTGATCTTGATAGCGATTGTAGGGAAAGCACCAGTAAGAGTAAAAATATATGGATGGTGAGTGAATCTAGAATCCAGGGGAAGAAAGTGCTGCTGTATATGAAGTGCTTGGTCATTTCTTTACTAAGGGTTAATGGAAACTTTCTTATCCACTGGGAAACAACTATTCACAAACAAAGGCATGGCCAGCTGTCAATACTATGCACACATTCCTGAACAGTTAGTAGCGCTGGTAATTTCAAGCAACAAAAAAATTGGCCCCATTCATCTATTCCAATCGACTCTCAAATTTCTTTATTCCATTGGGTTCTTATGCATTTTGTGGATTGTCCAGGGTAGATTTTCAATCCTTATCAGCCTTTCTTATGCCTCTAACGCATTCCCCTTACACTCTGCAGTATGCACAGAAACTGCAACCTTGTTAGAGTTCTGGTCTAAGCCAACTAGACCTGGAGAGAAAGATTTTCTTTCCCTTCAAAATCCTGTAAATGCAAATCCAAATCAAACACAATCAATCTGCACAAGTCAGCACTTTTTCTATCTGAAAGATCTGGAAATCAACATTTTTGATATCACCCAGGGCCAGCTGACTTACTGGAATGTCAGCCCCATGGTGCTGGAGTTGGCTGGTTGGATTGAAAGGCACTTATTATTTATAGTTATAGTTGTTTTTGAACAAAGAAAGTTAGATTTTGGCCTCAGGCTTATTTATTTTAAAAGAAAGAATTTGGTTTGAATGTTTCAATGTGTGCATGTATTACATATTAAAAATAGTCTTAAAAATTATTACAAGGGAAAAAAAAAATAAAGGGAGACTTACATGTGTAAAACACAGTCTTCTACTAGGTTGGGGTTTTGTTTGGTTTGTTTTACAGATCCTAAGCAGAAGCGTTAGGGAATTACAACAGGAGTGAATTGACACCATATGGAGAAATGTTTGGGAAGTGTTATTTAACCCAGAGTGTCTGTTTCCCTTTTAATATTTTAGGCAACAAAGTTCTTATATTCAAGTGAGGTTAAAGTGAGCTTTATTGATTTTATCTTCTAATAGTAAAAGGTATTTGTATCCACAACACAGAGCCAAGAGTTGCTTGCATATGAGCTAAAAGGAGCTGGACCTCACTATAGCCTCCAGGTCGGGGTCTCATCACCCTGAATATTCCTTTCTTGGAAGCAGAATGGAGTAGCAGAAAGCAGACAGAATTTGGAGTCAACACAGTGAATCTGAATTCGGAGTCTGCCACTTACTACTTGTGAGAATTTGTGCATGATACATAATTGTCTTGAGTTCATATAGATGAACTGCCCCATCAGTGAAATGAAGACAATATTTATTGTATTTATGTGAGGACTAAAAATAATGTTAGTGCTTGGCATATAGCAGGATTTCCGTAAGTGGTGATGCCATTCCTTTCTGCTTTGGCTCTCCTTTAGAGTCCATTAGGTCCTTGGTAGACTTGAAAAAAAAAAAAAAAAACCAGTCCATTGATATTTAAATCAAACCCAGAAATCTGAATAATCTCTCTAATCTTCTTTAAAGCAAGTTATAAATATATTTTATATTGGTGTTTGCTTGGTTGATGGGCTTTTGCCAGCAGGGAGTTGGGGGATAGGAAGGGCGGGGGGGTCTTGTGATTAGCCTTCTTAACAATAGCAGACTCAATGAGCTATTTGTATGCAAGACACACAGTGTCTGGCAACTACTAAGCCTTCAATACAAGGTAAGACCATCCCCTCCCAAAAAAATTCCTAGAAAACACTAATGTTTTTAATCTGGTTGACAAGAGAAGTGTTTCTTATAGCAGAGAAATGAGGGGGGAAAGAGGGTCCCACTTGGTTTGGTATAAAAAAGAGGAATTTCAAAGGTGAATTAATGTCTGTAGAGTGTTTACCTGTTTAAAGCAGGCTTCTACCAGATTTGGAGGGAACATGTTCCTGCAAAGAAAATAATAGTCACTTGCAAAATTTTCCAAGTAATAAGTTTGCTCCTTAAATTCTGTTTCATTGTGTGTAGGGTAAAGATTGCATTGAACCAAGCAACAAATGGAAAAAGAAAAATGTTAGTGGATTTTATGACTTGAAAAGGAATATATGGTCCTCCCTAAGTGTGGCCCATGTAGTTTATATTTTCAGGGGAGTCCAAACTCGACTCATTTATCCTCTTGTCAGCCAATGGGGTTCTTGATTCAGCCATTATCTTATTAAAAACTCTGCTGCTAGGAATAATCAAAGTAAGAATGGAAATGACTTTTATCGTTAGCTTTCTGGCTAACTAAGGTATCGTTCAGCAGTGGTCATTTTGGTTATTGTGCCATGCGTCTAGGAACCAAATGTTTTGAATCAAAAGCCATGGTCAGCCTATGGAATTTTGTTCTCCAAAAGTCTCCCAAAGGCATTCTGGGGAACGGGGGTTTGGCACTGAATTGCTAAAGCTTCTGCAGCTCTTTGGTAGCCAATGGAGAGATGACCTGCAAAATTTGAACTTGAAGCCCATGTGGCAGGATTTGTTACTTCTTCAGAGACTGTGTCAAAGCAGTGTTTATGTTTGTAGGCGGTAGAGTGAGGGACAACACTCTGGCTGGGAAGTCTGTCATCAGCTGTGTGACCCTGGCCAAGTCATGGCACCCATTTATATCTCAGTTGACTTATCTCTTAAAGAGGAGATTGGATTAAACTATCATTAGGGCTCCAAGATGAAAGACTGTGGGAGAAGGAGACATGACCCGGCAGTTATCTCAAGCTCAAGATTCCAGCAGTTGCATGTTACCAAAGTTATATTTTAATATTATAAACGTTTGTCCCTTTCTTCCTACTAGACCATCCTGTTTTCTTTTCCTTCTTATCTATCTATGGGGTTGTTGCCATCAACCTTGATAGAAATGTGCATTCAGAAGATTCCAGGATACATGCTCAAACCAAGTGATTGATTGTGAGCAGGATACATTTGTCACTGGAGCAAGGCAGGGCAGAAACACAGTCTTCTGATGGATCAATCAGACTGGGGATGATGAGATTCTAATTCTTCAAACAAGGAGTAAAAATTATAGGGAAAGAAAATGTAATATAATAAAATACTTCTAATCTAAACGATCTGAGGGTAAAGTTCATGAAGAAATAGTGAAAAGCCTTAATTAATTGTATGAACTAAATAAAAACATAGCTATTGAATGTCAGCTTGGCATGGAGTAATGTTACAGGGTGGCTTGATACATGCAGATCATTGTGATTAACTCCCTGAAAAAGGACTTTGAAGAAGAGGCCCCTTGGGCAGGGTTTACATACATAGAGATGGTAGAAAGTCACCCATGGTTGGAATTGAGAGGTGCTGCTGAAGGTACCCTCTGCTCCCCAAACCTCTCTTGACTTTACCTGCCACAGCCCCATTCCTTGAGATGCAATGGAGGAATTTCCTTCAGATGATCAATGGGGAATGGGCCTTTTACACAGGTATCTAGAATTGACAACCCAGTCACTCTGCAGGTAAGTTAGCTGAAAAGCTGGGAGGAAATAGCTAGTCTTTGGGAAAACAGGCTGGGAGGGACTAAACGGTGGGGGAATGCTAAGCAGATGGGGGATCTAGAGCCTATTATGAGATAGCTTTCCTTTGTCCTTCTAGATTCACTCTCCATTCTGTCTGTGCCCTGGGAGCCTGGCCTCTGTGGACCACAACACATGGGTTCTCTTGCCCTCTGGCTTCCTACTCCTATTGGGTTTGTCTAGTGACATGCACTAACAGATCACAGGGCAGAGGGAGTCTATATTCTCCTAGAGCTCTCTTTGACAGATTTGGTGGCAGCTTCCTTCCTCTATTTAGGGTTCCTGAGGCCCTTCCCTCCCGAGGCTATAGCTCTTTCTGGGTTCCATAACACCTCCTTTCTTTTGCTCCTTTATAGCTAAGGGTGGTAACAAAATAGTTTCTTACTGTTAGTGCTTTGGGGCCTCACCATCCTTGGTAGGTTCCTTTAAGGCTGCCTGCACCTTGGCAAACCTTCTTCAAGGTTCCTTTTGAGTATGTGGTATGCTTCCTGCCAGGACATGACTGAGCAAGGGCAGGTGTGTAGGGGAGAGGAAGCAGGAAGGTGCCAGGATTGAATTTTGACTTACTTCACAGTTCTACATAAGGCTGACTCTATTACCAAGTCTGCTTCAAGTAGTAGATAAGACTCATCTGTAATCAATGTATGGTTTGTACGTAAAACAACGCTAAAGAAACCATCCTTTATTCTTTTATTACAGACCTGCCAAATTCTTTCTCCACAAATATTATGAAAGGAAAACCTTGGGACAGGTTTGGCAAAATGATCTCTAAAGTCCCTCTGGAACCAGATTGTGTATAATGCGTTGTGCATGGTGGGCAATGATACTGATCACAAGTTCTAAATCAGAAGGGTCCAAAGAATAGGGCATAGTTGAATAAAAACTAGCCTTAAAGAACAGCACTTAAGAAAAATAGGTTAAGAATTATTAAAATTCCAAGGTGAGCTGCATAGTTGAGAGAGCTCAGTGACCAGATTCTGAATCCTAAAGGCAAGGTTCTCAAAATTCATATCTTCTCCTTGCTCTTTTCGCCTCTCTCATACAAGATCAGAAAATGGATCCTTCCTTCAATTTCTATAAGAAAGAAGTAAAGATATATGACCTTCATTTCAAGCCTGGCAAGGCTGGTTCAGTCAGACACCCCTTCCAGGGTTTGATTAGCTTCCCAGTGAGAGGATCTGGATGGTGAAAATACACCCCAAAGGACGGGCTTGCAAGGACATACCTGATCAAGTCCAGGAAAGCATCTGCAGCTGTCACTCGTACAATTTTGCCTTCTCTGTGCATGTTTTCCTTTGTGCCCTTCCCAGGATGGATGATGATGACAATGATTATGCCAATCACCACAGCAATGATGGTGGTAGTCATATAATAGACTACAGCTCGCATTCCCATCTTCCCTGATGCCTTACTATCTAGGGCTGCCATTCCTGGTGGAGGCAAACAGAAGATTTTCAGGAAGTCAGTCCAAGGAATTCTGCAGTGGAAGACAATGGGAACAGCATTTCCTTTATACTCCCCTACCCTCATCCCACCCAGCAATGGGATTTCGTACATATTGTGAGAACCTGGACCCAAATTTTACAAGGTGAAGGAAAAAGGCCGAGGCTAGAAAGGTGAGGCATCAGCGGTGTCAGTGAACATGCAGTCACTCATTTTCTGCCCCAGGAGTTGATTTCACATGGCCAAATCAATACTGTTCTCTAATGGTCCGAAAGTGCATCAGATTCTTTCCTAGCTTACCACTAGTTGGGGAAGCTACGAGTGTGAGTAGTGTGTGTATGAGTGTGCCTGTGTGCATGTGTGTGTAAAGAAATACTTAAAACATTTTTCTGGCAGGATAATCTAAGTTTACTTCAAGTTCAAGCACTGTGGTGATTCACACACAGATTAACTGCCATTAAATTCTTTCAAAGGAATTATTTTATATATGTATTTGGGAGTCTTTTTTTAATGTTTTAATGTACAATTTAAGCTATTATTCTGATCACCCGCTGATCTATCTTCAATTTGCATTTAAAGTAGACATTGGGTTATAAGGTTCTCAAATAGTTTCTCTGCTATTTCATCTCATCCAATCAAAAAATTTTTAAAAATTATCGTGGCACAGTTCTCATTCTTGTACCCTGTCTTCTTCTACTTTGTCCCACAGGTCTGAGATGCCTCATCTCATGCTAAACATCCCTCTTTCCCTCATTTTCAGGACATCTTCAAAGTCTGCCTCAGGCAAGGTGTCATCCTAGAGAAAAAAGGAGGCATGACTTTTAAGGTTTTCCTAATGGCTGTAGCTAATGGAACACAGTTTGATGCATTTTCGACTGAGAAGCTATTGGAAAAGACACAAAACTCTCAAAAGATTAAATTATCTATATTAATATGAGCTCTTCTGTTTTATTAGCTGTATCTTCACTTTTCTTCATTCTTTATCCTCCCCAATCCCACTAAAATCCAATTATAGTGTAATCCAATTACAGTTAATTGAGTTTTTTAAAAACAATTTAAAATGGTGTTTCCACAAATGTACTAAAAGGTTATACTGTATTTCAATAATGAGTATCAAATTCTAATGGTGGTTTAATATTTAGCTAGTGGCCCTGTTCACACAAACATATGTACAGGTTGTGCAAACTCTAAATATTTGCATATTTAGAAAGTAAAGTACTGATAAAAATGGTGTCTACAATTGCCAGATAACTGGTTGGGTTTGCTCAAAAATCTTAATATAAAGGTAATTAGCTTAAGTGGAAATTGAAGCCATGACCTTCATTTTATAATTTCATTTGTATTTGAAACGTATCACTTATAATTTTCATTATAAGCCCTTAGTATTTCATATGTTCTTATTTTGAACAACCTATAATACAGATTAAAAAGCAATTAAGTAACAGTCTAAAGGATTTAACACGAAGTGGAATGGAGCGGGAACTTGAACTCGGGTCTTACGTAACTAGGTTCAGTGCACTTTCTGCCTCTGAGAAAACCAACCGTAGCTCCCACAGATAAGGAGGCCAGCTTTGGCTTTGATGCCATGCACTTAGCCTCTTTTATCCTGGGCCACTTTCTCGAAACCAGGGGCTAAGTATTCATTTGTTAGGATGGCACCACTTCAACACTTCAACTATGTTAAAAATGGGCTAATCTGTTCCCAACCGAAGTATCCCATCCCCCAGCAGTTTCATTCTCAGGTCTGAATCACATCTGAAAATATCTTGGCTTGGCTGTGCTCAAAATGATTTCTCTCAGAAGGGGCCCACTCTCTTTCCCATGAGTGCCTGAACTTGTCACCACCAAAGCCTGCAATTCTTCCGGCTCTCTCCCTGTGGAACCGGCGAGTGGTGTAAGCACAATACGCCGGATATCTCTGGGTACCAGGGAGTACCAGGCGGCAGTATTTTCTTCCTCCGAGATGCTTTTTTCCCTCTCGCGTTCTATTTTGTGGTGCTGTTCCGTTCTCACGCCAACTCTTCTCTGACGCTCCTGCCCACTATTCTCGACCTACAGCTATTCGGAGAGAGTGCTAAGTGGTCAAGGCAGAGCACTGGAAACCAAAGTGGCAAACAAAGGATGAGGCTTATATGTCCTTTCTCACACCATGGGGAGAGGGATAGGGAAAGTTATCCCAGTACCCACAGCTACAGGGCTGTTGACTCTAGAAAATAAAGTTTATAGGTTTTTAAAACATGTTTAAAGTAAAAACCTATATGAAAGCATTTTCTTCATACTTTCTAATTCTAAATAGCTAAAGACAACCATCAAGGCATTTTTTTTTCCCAAAAGGCACAGAAGGAGAATCAATCATCAAATGAGAGGCCACCTCTGCATATTGGCCCTTATCCTTTGAAAGATAATAAAAACAACAGCTGCTGTTGTTTTAGCCAAGAAAGGTAAGGGAAGTATATTCATTAATCACATCTCCATGTAGGTCCTTCCCTTAAAGGAGGATCGAAGTCCCACACAGAGTTACTTGACCACCTCTACCACCTCTGTTCCAGGTACCCTGGCTTGTAAAACGAATGAGACCACCAGGAACAAGGTGGTACACTGTCATCAGGGAACAGCAGGACTGATGTGTACAATCTGTTCACACACAATGGCCTTAATACTGGTGGCATCAGGAAAATGGAGGAAGAACTCTAGAAGATAAAACCCCAAATGAGCAGGGCATCACTTTCCCCACCCTCACCTAAACTCTGTGACCATTTCCTTTACCCAACCTCAAGAAATATGAGAGACTAACCTTTACACCAGAGACTAACCAGAGATGTCAGAGTGTCTGGAGCGAAGTTAAAGTACTAAATCACTTTGCAGAACGGGGCGCTTGGCAGGAACTGCCCTAAATGTTTGGGAAGGAGGAAGTTTACATTGAGCCTTATCACTTTAAAATATATGGAAAAAAAGAGCACTGGGGTGATGGGGAGATAGAAAGTTACTTTGGTATGTACGTAATTGTGGGAGTGTGTTACGACAGTCATGCATTCATCTAAACACGTATTTGAGAAACACATTCCAGAGCAAGTGGTAAAGATAATGATCTTAACTAGCTTCTTTTTCTTCATTTGATCTGGGCTTAGCTAAACTAGCCCAATTCAAGACATCATGACATCTTTAATACGAAAACAACCTGCCTACAGAACCAAGATCCCCCTGAAATCCAAAGAAATACTATATTGTACTATTGTTAAAGTACTGTCATGGCTCTTTCACTTACAATGACACATTTGTGTGTGCGCTTTGTACATTTTGAGTTAACTTTTATCTGGTCCAAAGACTCACTCACTAAGTCCTGTCTTTGATTGATGATAAGAGTCATTTAATTCCATGACAATTGTATGATGCAGATATTGTTGATATTATATTATAGGTGAAGAAACAAGAGACCAGAGAAGTTAAATAACTTGCCCAGCGTTGCACAGCTAATAAATGGCAGTGGCGGGATTTGAACCCACATTTCCAAGACAGTATTCTTACTGCTGTACCTCTCTTTCTATGGACAAGCCAGGAGTCACCCATGTTTCATTTGCTTGTTATCCATGCTGACTTTCTCTAACTTTCTTGCATTTTAGTTAATTGCTAAGATGAGCCACTTGGCTTGAGGATAATTCTATGGAGGAATATAATTGTGAAAAATCTCTGTCCAATTACTCAACATTCCCTAAACCTACTTTAAGATCAAGGTGATTAACACTGGCCACAAGAAGGACTAGCTAGAGAGCTGATAATATCAGTGCAAATTCTTCACCATTCCTAGAAAAACAGCCCAGAGCATGTTTAATGGAGGGTGGAGACCCGTGCATATTTGCTGGCTGCTGTGAGCACTTGAGTCTTATTTTCTTTTCTACAAATCTACCCATAAATAACCACTTATCAAGCAAGCAATCATTTCTCCAAACCTACTTCTGTTCAACAATGAGTTAAGCTTCAGAAGGAGACGGAATAAGACGCCTTCTAGAAAGCAAAAGATTAAAACTTTGCTTCAAACACCTGAGTATTTTAGGCAGTAGTCACATGGAAGAGAGAGGAAAGGAAGAGAGTTTCTTGAGCAAATGGGTAATTATAAAGATAGTCTTTTGGCAATTGGTTTGTTGCAACAAATATGCACCAAATTCATGGGATTTTAGGGGTAGAAAGGGAATGTTTCATAAATGTTTATGTGGTACTCTGTAAGACTGTATTGTAAATTAGATCTGTTTTGGTATAATAATTAATATGACTTCTTGGATAAATAAAATACATATTCAATCAAGTATTAAAAGACAACATAAAATGTGTCAAGTTCCCAAGTTTCTATCATTGGCATGATTTTATTCTCCCGTCTGCTGAAAATCTATGACTTGGACATTAACATGTACTAGTGTACTTCCCCCAACAATTCCCGTCTCCGGTTTTGAAACACGAAATCTAGAGAAGCAGTCTTCTGTTTTGAATTGTCTTCCCACTTATCCCCATGATGTTTCATTGTTCTTCCAGGGCCACTGGACCAGGTCCAGGAGGAAGAGAAAAGAGTGACGGCAACTGCTGATTCAAGAAAATTGTTCTGTTTCAGTTTTTATTTTATTTTGGATGTACTCCTTCTCCACAATGAGTTTCTCAAACATGCATCTAATGAAAGCCGCCTGTTCTCAACCCTCCTAGAATTTCAAGATGCGCAAACTTACAAGGAAAGCAAGGATGAGCGCTAATATGTACTGTATTCATGTGAATACAAGATTTTTTTTTAATAAGAAAATCAAACTCTAAAAATACAATATACTTCATAATTACAGATTGAAAAATGGGCCCCTGTGTCCTAGGCAGCTGCCCACTGCTGGGGCCAGGGTACACTGCCATCCTAGGAAGAGAGTGAGGAGGAGGGTGAAAAAACTCACCCAGGAAAGGCAGTGAGGGGTGGTGAGGGAGCACAAAGAAAGTCACTTCAAATCTCTCTCTAGCC